TCAACAACATTGTTCCAGGTGTTCATCAACGATCTGTTGGAAGTCGTTGAGGCAGTCCGGAAGGGAGTAAAAGTAGGGGACACGGAAACGTCGGTTTCAGGAATGCTGTTTGCGGATGATTTTGTCGGTATGTCGGACACCCCTGAGGGACTGCAACTGCAAATTGACGCGGCGAAGAAGTTTACTGATAAGTGGAGATTGTCTGCCAACGTTCAGAAGAGTGCCGTCATGGTATGCAACGAGAACAAGGAGGAACCAGTAGAACATAGATGGAAGTGGGGGATCGAGGAGATTGCAGTAGTGGACCAGTACACATACCTCGGAGTAGAGATCGCAAAAGACTGCTCGTGGAATGCACACATGTCCAAGGTAGCGGAAAAGGGCAAAGCACGAGCAGGGAAGCTGCACCCAATACTCGCAAACCGGCACCTCGATACACGCATCAAATTGACGGTTTTGAAGAGCGTAATCGTACCGCCGCTAGAGTACGCCGGAGAAGTATGGGAAGGAAATAAGAAGGTAGTGAAAGAACTCGAAGCGGCGCAGATGCAAGCAGCGAAAACCATCCTAGGATGCTCCAAGTGCACAAGTATTGCAGCCGTCAGGTCAGAATTGAGGATCCAATCCCTACGGCCGGGAAGAGACGCGAGGAAGCTGACATGGCAGTATCGCATGTGCGGGATGGGAGAGGAGAGGTTGCCGAGGATTGTATGGGAGGCGAAGTGGGCAAACAAAAAGAGGGGTAGACAACCCACGGAATGGGTCAAGGTTGTAGAGGACGTATGGAAGGGGCTCGACATCGACGAAGATGAAACGCTGGAAACGGAGGGTCTACAGGGGTTCAAGGAGAAGATATCTGTTGCTTGTGCCGAGAGAGAAGAACAGAATCTGAGGAAAGAATCCAAGGATAAGGAGGGTCTAGAAGTGTACGGAATGTTGAAGGAAGGAATGGGGTTCAAGGATTACCCACATGGACCAATGGATGCAGGAACAAAGCTTAAGGTCAAGTTCAGGACAGGGGACATACGCCTTCGAGAACGTCGACGAAGACATAGGACGGTAGACGAGGAAGACGACGAGTTCAAATGTGATCGCGGCTTCGAATGCGAAGACCGTGTTCATGTAGTCGCGGAATGTCCGTTGTACAAGAAGGAGAGGAAAGTGACTGAGCTGGGAAAAATAGATAGGGCGTACAGGAAGATGTTTGAGGCATGGAATAGAGAGGAAAGGACGGTAGCTGTACTTGGGCATAGGAGGTGGGTTGAAAAGGCGGGAAGGGATATCGTTAGGATAGACAGACTAGGGAAGATATTTTTGAGCCACCTTTGGCAAAGTAGAAAGGAACGATTGGCCATCGGTGATCGGTCCTGTGGGAACAATGCTCCGTCCTCTCGAGGACGCGTGATCAATGGTCTAACCGCGAAGGCATGGAAAACATAAGAGTACGCCCGCCCCCCCCCCCCCCCCCCCCCCCCCCCCC